AAAAAAAAAAAAAAAAAAAAATTCAAATGCCAAAATTAAATTTCCAGAGACTTACAGAATGGTTTAGTATTTTGAGAGTCTTTGTCATTACATATGAAAAAGTCAGAATTAAAATAATTATCTTTTCATGTAAACTTACAGCAAGGAATTAATTACTCAAAAACAATAATGCCAACTAAATAATGACATTTATGCTCCTACCTCTTAAAACTGAATAGCTGCGAGTAAAGACTAGCATTTAATATTTCAAATGGAAGTAGCTTACATGGCATATGAAATTAATTACACCTCAGACCTTAATGCCAAATTTATTTTCCTAAATGTTTAAGCTTGGTGTGAATGCTGTTGTGACAACTTTCATTTTTTATAGTCTACTAAATTTCATGTTAACACCAGTGAAAGTTTGGGCTTTGGTAATCATAAAATATTTTATAAGGAAAGTAGATTGCGAAATGTAGCTTCTTACCTGGTATGTGACAGTGATATTGGAAATGGTGGGACGTTCTCCTTTGCAGTGCTGAATGAAGAGAGTAGCTGGCCCTGTCCTTCTGTTTCCCCAGAGTTCTACAGCATCTTGAAGAGAGGCACTGGCTAGACCGATGCACAAAATGCCTCTTCGTGGAATTTGTGGTCTTCAATGCTAATGTGAACCTGTTCTGTGTTGTGACCCTGATTTTGGAGTCCAGCGATGTGGGTATGAAGGCTTCTGCTCTCCTCCCTCTGTGATCTGGTGCTGTGATTTGGATGTCTGTGCCGTCCAAACCTCATGTTAAAATTTAATCCTTAATGTTGGAGATGGGGCCCGATGGGGGGATGTTTGGGCCATGGGGGTGGATCCCTCATAAGTAAATTAATGCCCTTCCTTGGGGGTAAGTTCTCACGCTATTAGATTCAGAGAAAACTGGTTGTTGAAAAAGGGCCTGGCACCTCCCCCCGCCCGGCTTCCTCTCTCGCCATGTGATCTCTGCACACACAGAATCCCCTTCACCTTCTGCCACCGGTAGAAGCAGCCCGAGGCCCTCACCACATGCAGATGCCCAACCCCGAACTTTCTAGCTTTCAGAATTGTGAGCCAAATAAAAGATGATTATCTTTCTTTATAAGTTACCCAGACTGAGATATTCCTTTATAATAACACAAAACAGACTAAGACACCTGGGTATCTCAGGAGAAGGCCCAACTTCTTTCTCGATCTTATACTATTCATTAAAAGATATTTTAATTAAGGTTATTATGCATAAATAGATATATTTTTTAAAGACAGGGTCTCACTATGTTGCCCAGCCTGGCCTTGAACTCATGGGCTCAAGTGATCCTCCCACCTTAGCCTCCCGAGTAGCTGGGATTATGGGTGCCCACCACTGAGCCCAGCTCATATACATCATACAATTTTAAAAAGTCAAGTAATTGAAGGAAAAAACCAGCAGTTCTCAGTTCATCCCTATTTCATTCCTAATCCCTAGAAGCAGCTACTTTCAGGTTGTTTAAACTAGTTCTTTCAGAGTTTAAAAATTATTAACATGCTTATTGGCTACTTCATGAATTTTCAGTTTTAGATATTACCTGTTTCTCCTGTGAGGATGAAGATTTAGCTTTCTTATACCCACATATATCCCAAATACACACACACTCATACGCATCTTTCTTCTTTATTCTTCCAATGTATTAATAGTAATATAATGTTTAGTTTATTTCCATTGTGATTATGTTTTTCAAAGATGAGACAAGAAATGTTATGACTAAATTTCTTTTATAACTTTTGTTTAGAATTTATAATTTTCTTCTTTAATTTGCTTGGTTTTATATGTATCTATCATTGACTCATCTCCAAACTCTTCCTAGAAGCAAAAAATCTTTCTGTTCACGAGTATCACATAAAGTATCATTTTATCTTTGCCTTAGAGACACCCTCTAAGGGAGCTCCCATCCCTTGGGTACAGTCCGGATTGGTTATTCTCTAGGTCTGCTATTTACAGCTGTCATCCAGGCTGTGTCTTCACCGTCACCCTGGGGATTATCTCTACCTTTCTCCTCAATCAGATTCCTATGTCTTCCTCTCTTGGTTTACACTTCCTCATTTTGCTAAAGCACATCCTCCAGTAACTTCCTGGAACGGTGCAAGGGAGGTAAACTTTTTGAAGCCTTACATGTCCAAAAAATGTTTTTATTCTGCTGTCACATTAGATTGCAGATATATATTCATGTATATGAATGATGTCCTTCTGATTCTCAGCCTCTACCCTCAAAAGTATTTAGATGTCTCTTTTTTTCCCCCCCGGGGTTATGAAAAGACCTCATGGTAAGCCCTTTAACCTGGAAACTTGTGTCCTTAAGTTCTGAGGCATTTTCTTGCACTTTTCCCTATTAATTTCTTCTCCATTTTCTCTGTTCACTTTTCCTGATATTCCTAGCACTTTGATATTGGAACTTGTAGACTGATGCTCTGATTTTCTTATGTTTTTACTATTTTCCATCTTTTTCTTCTAATACCTGAGGGGTTTCTTTAACTTTATCCTTAGAAACATTTGCTGAATTTTTCCTTTCTATGTTTTAATTTCCAAAAATTGTTTTTGTTCTCATAATACTTTTCATAGTCATCTGTTTTTTTAATGGATGCAATATCCTCTCTTAACTGTGAGGATATTATAAGTGGTTTTTTTCTTCTGTTCCTTCACTTTCTCTAATTCCTCTGAGCTGCTTTTTTGGATATTTTGTTTTGATCTAGTTTTCAATGTTAGAGAGTCAAGTGTCTGGATGTTCTTTTACATTTAAAGGAAGGCAATAAAAAGCAAATAAATGCTAATGAGAAGCTCTGAGCCCATGGATAGAGCTTGTCAACTGGTATCTGTATCTTTTCTTTTGGGCGGTCAGTTTCTACAGAAGGACCCTCCAAACCCCTGCCTGGAGGATATGAACATTATAGTTCTCAGACCAGTGAAGGGAAAGGGACTGAGAAGAGTCTCGCCATGCAGCATGTAAACTTTCCTTAATTCCCTTTTTCAGTAAACAATTGCTCTCCAAGGTACCTGGTGTCCCTCAGTCCAGATTCTCTTTAGTTCAGCATCACTAGGAAATAAACCTTTGTTCTTGGGGTGGTGGGAGGCAGGATGAATAGCAGATACCTGGCTGTGAAGGGTGAGAGAGGAAATCTGGCATCTGATTGTTTATGTTCGGACTCTCAATCACTGCTATTTTCAGTTCCACCTGAACTTCTACCTCCAGAGATACCTGATGCTTCCAATTTCTGAGGCTTTCTAGAGTTTTGTGGTTTGAATCGGCTTAGTTCTGAGTCCTACGCTGCTGGCTTAGGTTTCCATTTTCTTGAACTTGCTAGATCAGTATTATTCCTCTATTTCTCAGCTTCCAACACTTGGTCACTCTCATCTGCCCTCTTCTTTACCTTTGGGTCATTTTTTTTATCCCTTCACTGTCATTGTAGTGGCCTTTTGTAAGGGATTGGAGGGAGGCTGGTGCATTCAGTTCCCCCACCTTTAACAAGGAGTGAGTCCTAATCCAACTTCCTTTGTCCTCTTTCCTTTCTCGCCCGGAATTGGTCCACAAGTGTCCTTCCATTCACCATTTGGCCTTACTCCAAATCAGGAATTTTTTCTTCCCAGACCCACAAAGAGAAGACCACTTCTATCCTCATTTCTAGATAAAGCGTAACAGCTTACTGAGGGTTTTCAGTAATAACTACCAAAAATTGGATGGGGTAAAAAATAAACATCGGGGAAAGTCCCAGTCTTGAGAACTCGCTATGTGAAGTAGAAATTCCGTTTGTTCTTAAATGTACTTTCTACCTAAAAGGGGTACATCTTAGCGCTAATATTTTGGAGCTTTATGAAAAGTTTCTATTCACAAGACCTTTCATGATTTTATAAATATTCTGTCCTTCCAGGTGGAGGCTGAAGCTTTTTAGTTCATCCTCATTTAAACATCCAGAGTATCCATGGGATACTCCAGTACTCACGGGATGTTAGTGCTTTAGACGTTTGTCTCTGTGGCCATTCTAACAGCCGTTAAGCCACCGACACTTCCTCTAGGTGGGGTCAGATCTCATTTAATGTTCAAGACAGCTCTACAGGAAATACTAAGTGGAGTATAAAGCCTCAGAATTATTTGAATTGATGATATAGGAACAGTTGGGGTTATTCGAAGACAAAGTTTTAAGAGAAGAGGACAAAAGTTTTAAAGACTCTTGACTCCAGGTGTTTTGTTATTCCCAGGTGCTTTCTTCAGTTCTGTGAGACTGGACAGTTTACCTTCCCTGCAGACATCAAAGAAGGGCTTTGCCTGGTCTATCATCGCACAAGCCATCTATTACCTACTTGTCTGTTACTATGCCTTCGTACAGGTGAACTGAAAATGGAAGATGTGAGAAATAAAGGTTGCCAGATTGTATTTGGGGAGCTCTACAAAGACCTGTTACTAGAATTACGGTTATGATTTTGGTCCTTTCTAGAAACATGAATTCAGTTAGAAGCTGACTTGTTTTTCACCAAGCAGAATATATAGCTCTTTCAATTTTCAGGAGCTAAAGAATTAAATCTGTAGAAATATTTTATGTACAGTTTTTTCTACCCCTATATAGTGATATCAGGAAAGTATGATGAACAAAGAGCAAGTACTCAAAAATACAAATGACTGCACTCAAAATATATCTTAAGCCAAACACAGTATTTTTTCCTTTATTCTCAGACTTGATTAATTTAGAAACGTTTATTTATTTTTAAGTGACAGGTCTATGATCTCCAAGAAAAAGAATGAATGTATCCAATGGAAATTTTATTAGAGGCCACCTGTTCTGTAAGCAGCATTTCTGAGTGACTACAGAGCAGAACCAAGACCATACCTATTTGTCCACATTAGATCCGATAGATGGGCTTTGCCTGTAGAAGCCAGCTGTGCTCGTAACACTTAATTAGGGAGAGACCTAGCTAATCTTTCCGACTGTGGTACGTTTAGGGTCGGTGGCTGAAACGGCAGAGGTGGAGGTTCTTCACTAGGAAGAGAAACAGTCTGGTCACGAGCATAATCCTCATTAGCTTCACCATCTTGGGGCTTGACATGAAGAGCATTTCTCTCCATAAGAAAAACATGGCACAATACCGCCATGACCGCGACAGGTAAGAGGGAGCCAGAGGAGCACAGGATATCCCTACCTTATGTCTGAAGTTTCCTGGTTACAAAACATATTCTTTGAAACTCCCTCTCCTCCTCCTCCTCCACTGCCTGACCAGATGTGTATTTGTATAATATTAGAGTTAAAACTAGAATTTGGATTAATGTCCACATTAATGTCTAGTTCTATTCTAAACACTATTAAACCCATTAGGTCAATTATCTACTACCAGGGAGTACAGGATCAGAGTGCTACAGAAACAGCATGATGGTTCTTCTCATTGGGTTAACTCATCTCCTCTTGAGAAGGGAGATTTAGCTCAGACCGGAGCAGTACAGGAGGCTGGTTTTGATTTCCAGGTGAATCTGGAGTAAATAAAATCAGCTAGAGGTCACATTTCAAGATTTCCTCAGCACAGTTCCCAACCAAATACATGGCCTTTTGCTAACGTTCTCACATCTGCAAGTACAAGAGGCCAAACTGGGAAGCAGAGTCCTTACATCAGCAAGTGTTCAACCTAATAGGACTCAAGAGCTGCCGCGCTTCAGCAGCAGGGACACTGGAGAAAGTGCCATCACGGCAATCGATGACGGTACACACTGCCTGCTGAGTAACTGTCAGCTTTCCTTGCCACAGGTTCATCAGCTTCTCTGAGGCAGTAAAAGTGAACTCTGCTGCCATTCACCTCACAGGCTTCCTGGTTCTCCTGGCCACTGTTCAGTTGTGGAATCTGCTGCATCGCGATGCCAGGCTGCAGGTCATTGGCAGGACACTGAGCAAAGCCTGGGGCGAGGTGGTGGGCTTCCTGCTGATCATCCTGATCCTGCTCACGAGCTATGCCACTGCTGTAAGCCCCTGGGCCCAGCGTCTGTCTGTCTGTCCCCACGTGCTGTGATCCTGGAATCACATCACTCCCCTTAGAAAAGAAAACCCATGAGTTTTGGAGAAAAGGTAGCGGAGTAAGAAAGTTGGGTTTAGTTGTAGTTCCATACTTAACTAGTACAACTGAAACCCGGATGTTGGTCTCCTCTCTAAAATGGGGATAAAATGTAGCTCACTGGGTAATGTAATGGTCAAATAAATTTAAATGACAATACTATGTAATTACAAAGGAATTTTATGTAATTTTGGGGCATAGTAATGTGAGTGCCACAAGGAATTTCTTTCCATTCCATTGGTTCTACGTTGGCCATGTCATCAAGCACCTCAGGACAGACACCTGCACTCCCACCCCCTGACCCGCCTTTCTCCTCTTCAGTTTAACCTGCTGTTTGGATGGAGCATCTCTGACTACCAGACTTTCGTCAGCTCAGCAATGACTGTTGTTGGTCTCCTGATGGGAATTTCTCACCATAAGGAGGTAAAAAATAAAACTCATCCTAGTGTCTCTGCAGAATTCTATTTGGTTTAATTCTCTTTTAAATTTCTATATAATTCTATTTGGTTTAATTTCCCCCAGAGGACTATCAATACAAATCCTTGTCCTCCTCAACATAAAATTTAAAGGAGAAAACCCAAATGAGGATTTGGGCTCCAAACACTAGTACATGATCGGCAGATTTGCACAGGGAAGGAAAAAAACTGCAGTTTTAGTTAGTGAAACTAGCAAGACTTTGATCAAGGCTGATCATCCTGATGATCTGAAACTCAAACGTTACTAATTAAAATAGGTAAATTCAGTTTCTAATGTGGAAAATTACCATTGTCTCAGAAAGAATATACAGTCAGCCCTCTGTATCCGTGGGATCCGCATCCAGATTCAATATTTGGAAATAAAATTAACAATACAATAAAAAGTAATACAAAGTTTGGCCAGGCGTAGTAGCTCATGCCTGTAATCCTAGCACTTTGGGAGGCCAAGGCAGGAGGGTTGCTTGAGGCCAGGAGTTTGAGAACAGCCTGAGCAACAAAGGGGAGACCCTGTCTCTATCAAAGAAAAAAAAAAAGAAAAATTAGCCATGCACAGTGGCATGCACCTGTAGTCTCAGCTACTTGGGAGGCTGAGGCAGGAGGATCATTTTAGGCCAGGAGTTTGAGGTTTCAGTGAGCTGTGATGATGCCATTGCACTCCAGCCTGGGTGCAGTGCGAGACCTTGTATCCAGAAAAAATTTAACAATTATTTACATTGCATTTCTACTCCATTAGGTACTGTTAAGTAATCAACAGATGACAAAGTATACAAGAGGATACGCAAATGCTATGCCATTTTATATGAGGGACTTAAGCATCTGGACCCCAAAGGGGTCCTGGAACCAATCTCCAGCAGATACTGAGGGGCGACTGTAACTGCTCTTTTGGGTGGACTATTTTGTTGTGGGTCCCAGCTCCAATCACTAGGGAATGGAGCCCTCACCCCTGGAGCACTTTGTATCCTAAAGCTCTAAAGGAAGTAACAACCAGAATAAACTATTGCTAACAGGTACTTTTCGATTAAAAAACAATTTTTTCTTAAAATTGTACAAGAAATTGTACAATGTGAAGGAAAAACAGTAAACTTGTTGGGAAAAAATCCTGTATCACAAACTCAGCCTGCCTAGATTATTCCGTTCACCTGGAACTGTTACACTTTTAAGTGGCCGATAGATTGGTGCTTGAAAATATTTTGTCATCTAGGAGATTCCTGTCAGGGTGGCATTTATTACAAGTAACTGTTCTCTCAGTTGTTAGGTTTTTTTTTTTTTTTTTTTTTTTAAACAGTGCCCTAGTGGCAACAAGGAATGGGTCAATACCAGGGGAAAATAAACATCTGTTAAAAAGAATACCCAGGTTAAAAAAAACATGGAAACCATTATAGTTGGCCTGGAATTTGAGAAAATCTCTCTTCATGCAGAAAGGTAAATGACAAGACTTTCAGAGTTAGTTTCTGTCTCAAGAAAAAAAATGACAGGACTTGGTAATTACAATAATGGAAAAAATCCTGTAATAAAAGCCAGTTTTCTGTAGTTAACAAAAATTTATCAGAATCCTCCTGTGTTGTAGAGTAGAAGTTTTTCTGTTTTTGAGACAGAGTCTCACTCTCTTGCCCTGGGTAGAGTGTGGCGGTGTCACTGTAGCTCACAGCAACCTCAAATTCCTGGGTGCAAGCCATCCTCCTCCCTTGGCCTCCCGAGTAGCTGGGACTACAGATGCACACCACGATGCCTGGCTAATTTTTCTATTTTTAGTAGAGATGGGGTCTTGCTCTCACTCAGGCTGATACCCAACTCCTGAGCTCAAGCGATCCTCCTGCCCTGGCCTCCCAGAGTGCTAGGATTACAGGTGTGAGCCACTGTGCCCAGCAGAGTAGAATCTAGTTTCTTGATATGGCAGATGCATTCTCACTTCTGGTACGCATTTGCTATCCCTTGAAGTTTCCATGTTTAGATATATTTTCTGGAACTGTCAAAACTCACATAAGATTTGAATCATTAACAATTCCACTGTAACTCACCTGTTTTCTTCTTGTGAAAGCCCTGAAGTCAAAATTATTTTAACATCCTTATAGTCAATCATTCCTGCTCTGCTCATTTAAAATTATTTTCCTTTTTAATATCTTCTTGCCTCTCTCCCTTGTTTCTACCAGCTATGTCTTATGAGTGGATCCCAAACATTAGCATATAGCTATGTTCGTAAAGTAGAAAATAGTTAGTCTCTCAAAGTGTTCTTATTGTCTTTCCAGGTTATTGCTTTAGACCCAGTCCTGGGCTCCTTTCTGATCCTCACCAGTGTCATCTTGATAGTACTTGTGATAATTAATCTTTTTGTTTCTGCTATTCTAATGGCCTTCAGAAAAGAAAGAAAGTCCCCTAAGGTAGGTAACTCTGGCTTGGTAACTGAAAAATGAACTGTATCACTGGGAAAGCTCAACGTAAAACTGTTACGATTACAGACACAATACATAGTATCAGCATATTCCCTTTATTAGTTTCAACAGCTCTGCCAACTATTTTCCTAGGAAACCCACGTAACCAAGATGACTTAATGTTCTATAGCCAATGTCCTATAAAAAGCTGGCCCTCAACCGTTAAGTAGTGGAAACACTCCAAGGCTTGAGAATAAATCATTAATTTTTTTTTTATCTTTGGTGTTTCTTTACTTGAACATTAGCAATATTTTTCCTTTTGTCTTCAAATACTCAGAGAGAAGCTACACTGGTAGATATGCTGCTACAGAAGTTCTCAAGTTTGTTAGGAATCCAGCTACACCAGAACCCCTCATCTAAGCAAGAAGCCACAACAGCAATGGCCAATGACACTGCGGTTTTAGAAGATGAACTACCTTAATCCTGTTACTTCCTATCTTGGCTTATTTCCTAGCATATTATTAGTTACCTTTGCATAGCTTAGAAAATTATAGATGTATTACTTTTTTTTCCCACCACTACCCCCTCCCTACACTTTGTTCTTAATTCTGTTAGTCCCCTAGGCTCCAAGTTCTTGCTTATGGATCTTGGCACTGTTCAGGAGAGGATAACACTGCAAGAACATTACAGAAGAAACCAGCTCTGCTGCCAAGCAGCAAGTAACAGAACACCACCCATGCCCCAGGATGGCTGTGAGAAATGAATGAGTCAGAAGTGAGCTCACTGCAACTTACTAAAAATAAAGATAGAAGCCTGAACTCTGGCAGCTGCAGAACCCTGACACAGAGGAGTAACCAAACTCGCAGATGCTATCTGTGCTTAAATGCAGAGATCAAAATAAGCCTTGCTCTGCTTCAGACATCTGCATTACTGAGGGGGCCGAAGGTGAGCGTTGGCTCTGGCTTGTACACCAACATGGATCACTTGCTTAAAATATTCTCCACGAAAATCCAAATTTATGCATCATTGTTTGACCTAAGAGTGAAGAAATGAAGACACAGGATCTTCTAACTTTATTAGCAGTTACTAGGCCATGAGATACAACCCAATTGAAAACATTAAAGTTGGCTGAAACAGGTATGTACAGATACGTTACACAGAAACGAAAGTTTTTATCTTTTGATCCCAAAACCATCCCCATGAAGAAGGATGGCTTTAGCTATGGGGCAAAGGAGCAGGTGAGTTACAACACTAAGAGTCTCATCCGTTCCGGAAAGCGATGAATTATAGCCACATGGGCACCAGAAGTTTATCTGAGGATTCCACTAGTCACAGTTTTCGAATGAAAACAGGTACTCCTCTTCTCCTGCAGGCTTTCCAGCTCACTACCCAAGAGACTTGAGTACTTCTATTAAGGCAGCTGGAAGCCCACCCTAGGCTTGAATGGCAGCTTCTGCCCAATATGTGGCCTGTCCTCCCTCTGCCAGTAATGCAATCCAACAGAACATGCCACGTGGAAAACAGAAATTTCTACAGTGCTGCCCTCTGGTAAAAGGGAAACACAGCACTCAAAATAAAGCAAAAGGCCACAGAGGGCTCCCTGAGAATCCAGTAGAACTAAGAGAGGCCTTCAACTTTCCAAATAAACTTTGCAACTGGATCCAGGTCAAACAGTGCCCTGCAGTGAGGAGTAGTGTATACACCAATGAGAGGGCCTAGCTTCCAGGAACCATTACAACGCTGGCCTCCTGAGTCATTTTCTCTCTCCCGCCATTCATGTTAGAGAGAGAAAACACACAATGGCCTTGATTCTCTCACCTCAATCCCCCTGTACAGAGAGGGGTTTGTTTCTAAGTCTGGAACCTCAACACAAGGCTGAGAGGCTTCACGGGGTGCTCTCCTCCACTGTTCCAGCCATCTCTGGTGGCTCTCCCCACAAAATGTTCATCTTCCACTCTCCTGTGAAGAGACCAGGGATCACTTGGACAGGAAATGGACAAGCACAGCTGCCAGGAACCAGCTGTTCTGGCCACAGAGTCTCCGGCTGTTAGTCTCTTAGCATCAATAGAGAACTGGAAAGCAGCAGAATCTGGAGAAGTAGGAAGAGAGCCCCAAGGAAGTGTGCTCAGTGATGGTTAATAGATGAAACGGAATTTCATGGAGATTCTTTGTTACATGGAAAAACCGCTCAGTCTCAACTGCTAGAACTTGGAAGTCGCCTGGTTTAAGAGGCCTATGTTTTCTTTTTCAGCTCTTCAAACCTCCGGGAAAGATCATCAAAGTCAATGTCTTCAGATGCTGAGGTGCTGGCACCAGCAGATGCAGCTGGTAGTGTGTCTGGCACAGATGGCAACTCTGGTAGTACAAAGTTGTTGTAGTTATCCACAGGTCGAGAAGGGGGCTTTGCAGAGGCTTCTGGCTTGGGTCCAGGACCTAATTAAATTAGGACAAGGGGAGCACGATGTTACAAATGCCAGAGAAATGGCTCAGATTCCCTTTGGTAGAAAAAATAAAACTATCAAAATACAGGAGAAGGCCGGCGCGGTGGCTCACGCCTGTAATCCTAGCACTCTGGGAGGGTGAGGCGGGC